GCTCGTAATTCAAATAACTTAACACGTAACGATGAAACAAAAATTTCAGTGCGACTGTTCAGCCAATGATCTTTGGTTTTATTGTATATTTGTACCTCCGAACAAACGAGAAAGGTCTTGCATTAACGCGCAATGGAGTATTAATGTATGCATATCTCATTATACTAATGTAAAGTAACGAACACGCGATTCTTTTTTATTCCTGTTCCAACACGACAACGGTCAACGGGAAAGAGCGCATTACGTAACGAATCAGAAGAGGGGAAAAAAAGAAAAGAAAAAACAAAGCTGTCGACATACAGTAAGGACTTTTTTCTAGAGACACTTTATTACCTTTTCCTATCATTGTGCAGAGGTACATTAGATCGTACCCAGCCCAGTTGACCCAATGTATAGCAATCTTTCTCAATTTTCTCTTCTTCGTGAATAACAGTATCTTCCACTCCGATTGGAGTATAATGAAAGTGATCCTGTTCGGACAGAATTCTGCGTTTGACCGGAGATCGAATGGGCTCGGTTTGAACGCACTTGTCACATTGACGCACCCTGAATTTCAACGTTAAATTCGAAGATACTGGAGGAAGCGGTGAGTCATTCTCTCGATACTCCATGTAAGGACTCTCTCCACCAGGAAGATATAACAAGTTCCCTGACTCAGATCTGCGATATGCGACCCGCTCTAAAGTATTGTTCACAGGAAATGTAGTCCCATCAGCCCACTGACCATCATCCTTTATTGGACGAAAGTGTGTGCGAGCGGAAGTAAGCAAATCCTCGTCCGGTTCAGGAAGGCTGTTTACCTTCAGATTTGAACGAGATTCTTTGCGTGTTCCAATGGGAGTTTTACGCGGTGCGACTGGAAAGAAGCAGCTACCTGTCTGTGAACTGTGGCCCAAGGTAGCTAAGTTACTGCCGAGCCCTTTCCAGTACCATGATCCATCCACAACTGAGTCAGACCAATTAACATTGTTCTCTGAAATAGTACATATCAAATATTTATTCACCTTTGATTTCTATGAGTAAGTTAGCAACTAACTTTCGCACGTATATAGAACAAAAAAAGAGAGAATAAAACATATATTGCAGCACAACAGAGATACAATGACATTCTACGTCTAACTTGATGTACTCTGTTATTTACTTACATGTCAGAATGATCTCCTATCCGTTAGATATATGTAAGTCAGTATTACTATGTCGTGATACTGGTAAATTATATATACCTGAAATACTGACCTGATTTATTCTTGTTACTACATTCATCCGCATAATCTTCTATGCTGATTAAATCGATGTCCCATGGAATGAGCGGCGAGTCGTCAACAATAGATTCCTGGTACGGCGTGTCAGTAGCATAGCCATTGTCTGAGGTGGATAAAGTAAAGATTGTCTCGGTAGTGTCTGTCGGCCAAAGGGGTCCTGAAGGAATAGAAAGAGTAGGTGCTGCCCAAATCGAAGCCGTGTCCTGTGCATTGCCTGGTCCCGAATCCCAAAGTGCTTCCAAGCTCTCATCAAACTTTGCTTGTAACTGTGCCAATCGGAGCTTATCCAATTGTAATTCCAGCTCTTTTTCCCTTTCACGTTCCATTGACTTAACAAATCCGAAGCTTTGTTCTTCGTGAGTCAATACTCTACAAACAGCCGGGTTAAATCATTCGTAACTTCTCTTAATAATACAATATGATACTCAACTCAATCTCAAATACTTACAATGGACAGTTTGGTTTTTTTATTGCGAGATTTATTAGTATTTTTATTATTGTTGTAGTTAACTCCGTTGATTTTATTGTTGTTATTGTTATTATTGTTGTTATTGTTGTTTCCAAAACTCCTATCTTTTCTTTGGGAAAATTTCTTTAAGGGTGTAGGTTGCAAAGCAGGAAATGCCGCATAGTATCTGAGAGCTCTATCGCGAGGTGTGAGCGACTCTAAATTCGTTTTGTTTTCACCATCGGACGTCTTGAACTCTTCTTCCTTATCATCCGAGCCGCCTCCTTCCAGATCTCGAAGTTTCATACATAATTCGTCTACCAGCGTTTCCACCCCACACTTCTATTAAGCAGAACAATATACATATATACTTATATATAACGTATTGATATGTATACAGGATATTTAAAATATAAAACAGTCATAATAGTTACTGCTACTTACATTATCAGCAGCACTTGTTAAACATTGCACAACAGCACGTCTTTGTTCTCTGTCTCCTTGCGTGGGCAGTTTTGCTTTAGGTCGGGCCCGAATGCGACGTCCTCCGTTTCTACCTGTACCTACTGCTTCTTCTGGAGGGCTTAGGGCCGAGTCGGGGCAGCGCAGTAGGCTGAGCACAAATCGCGAGTACGCAACCGGGTCTATTCCCAGTGCGTCCAAGCGTGCCTCCAGCCACTGGCGCAACTCCTCCTCGGCCCTAGTACCAAACACTTCACCTCCTCCAGGGGACGTCGCTATCCCGACCAGGTGCAGTGCCGGATTCCTCATTTCCTTTTAATGAAGCTCCTCCCAAACCCAGGAACTTTCACAGATTTCACTACCTCCAGGGTGATCATCTTCTCTCCTTGAAAAGTAAACGAATTTCATCATTATACACTAAATTTCCGCATGATAATGATTAATAAGGCGAATAACAAATCAAATTACCTATTTACAATAGAGTTACGGTATTATATTATTGTCCTTTAATGTTTCAATTTTACTGAATCCACCACCTTGACATTTACTAGCTTGATAAATGTTCTTTTGTTTCTCTTTGTTACTTGTAATTTCTCTCTTATAGTTTCGTTGCCCACAATCAATCGTGGTACTTCTTGTGATTTCAGTTACGTTGATATTAAAAATTATTTAGTTCTTGTGCACAGGTGGTGGATATTTTGTGGAAATGAGGCTGGCAGGTCTTAGTGAAGGATAACAAATATAGTCTCCTTCCCATTTTGACACTGAAATTTTATAATTTCCAAATTATTCTTTCGGACATTTTGAATGTAAAAAAATATTTCGTGCAAATAAAGAAATACATGTTGTTCCTTTTTCCATTATTCTTATTTATTTATACGATAAAAAACATAATTACGCAAATTTTACATTGTGTATCTTGAAAACTCCACTTTGTGTACATGTAATTAACTTCAGTTTATAAGAAACTTTTAACTAAACATAAAAAATTGTTATCACATTTCTTACATAAGCAACACTAACTAGTAATTGTGTAAAACTTTCACTTTCATATAATCTAAATAAGTGTTAATACCAATACATTTATAGCTTTTACATCATGCTACATACAAAATAATATATAAAATCAAAACATTGTTTATTAAAATAAAGCTATGTCAACAATGAATATTATTTCTGAAGCTTAGTCTCTTGTAATAACAAGAATTATTGTTCAATACATATCACATGTTACAAAAAATAAATTTAAACACAATATTTAAAGTATTCAGATATATTATAGACCTTATTTACTTTCATTTCATAAATATAATGTAATATCAAATATTGTAAAAAATTTTTGATAATCACAAAAATGTCTTTAAAAAACAGACTTCTTAACCCCTAAATAGAAACAATGTTTATCCCACAAACACAAAAGAAATAATATATAAATTGGCATGAAATTTTGTTTACTTTACGAAAACAAAATCAAATGAATATTTTTACTATAAATTTTCAAATGTCACGTATGATATATATTCGTTTAGATTCCAAAGTGTTAGAAAGATTTTACGCAAAATGCAGTTAGAAATCTAAGACGCAGTTAGAATCATACGTTCGTGTTAGAGACTATTAAGTCACGTTGCACGAATCATGGAGCTAAAATACATGTTCCACGTCGTGACTAGTAGAAAAGCTAACATAGTGCGTATACAAATGAAAACAAGCTACAAGATCCATCGAAACAAATCGAGACCTTTATTAACGTTGTCAAATACGCTTATCACTAGATTACGCGGGTACGAGCAATTGAGCATAATACAATGAGATTTTCAAGTTTTCCACGCATTATCAACCAGCCTCGTCCACTTGATAGATGTCTCTCGTACTGGTATACGAAAACAAACTGCAAATTCGGCTGCATAATATTGCAGCTTGACTGTCTATACGAATTGTTGGCAACGACATTGCTAGAGCAATGCGAATAACCTTGCCGATTGCGCTATGCATTTTGTCTGAGTCATAGTTCTCTCGTCAAGAGAACGAACAATTGTATGACGTTACGAAATAACAACAAACCTGTCTTTGTACGCAGTTCACTGTCAACTCGTGACAAACATGGTAGCTACTTCGATCACGATCAACAAAAATGTTGAAATTTTGACGTACCTGCATGCCTCGAGAGATGATTTTCACCCCGGCCTCTTCTACACACCCCACTCAGAGAAAAACATGGCGGCTACTAAAAGCTTCTCTGCCCCTCCCCCTTTCAATTGTTGGCACTCACACAATTCTTGCCCAAGATCTGCAGTGTGTTCAGAAATTAAACTGTCACTGATCATAAAATTTATATGAATACTATTTATGACTATATCTAAATTAAATCACATTTTCATTACATTTTTATACACCTGTTTATTATAATTCATTGTATAAATATGTATATCTTAAAACTTCTCGCAATTTATACTATCATTGTTATCAATGACATGTGCAAATTAGGAAAATTGTAACGAACAAACCCACATAAAAGAAATTGATCAGTTCAATTTTAATATCTACGATATATCTATTTTAATATTTTATAATGTAATTAATTAAAATAATTAAAATATAATAACAGCAAAAAAGTTATATACACAAGAATATACAATAAATAATCTTATTTATTTATCAAACTGTTTGATATTAAAAACTTTATATGGGAAAATTCTCATTGCGTAGTTTAATTTACGTTAGAAATACTACCTGTATGTCCTTAAATAGTTAAGAACACTTTGTAAATAAACATAAAGTGATTTTATACTGAAATTATCATGTATATTTGATTGCAGATATATTTCAAAATACTAATATATCAAAATAAATCATCTTATATTGATATTAATTATTATATTAGAAACACTGATACTAGTTAAGTAACCAGTTGATCTTTGTTCTCTCATCACTATGTTCAAGTCAGAAAATGTGTGATGGTGAGGTATTTTACCACATTGCAGATAAAAACGGCTTCGAAATATTACGAAAATTACAAAAAAATATTGTAATTCAAGATGTATTCTTTAATCCGTACGAAAAAGATGGTATCCGGCCACAAAACAATAATTAACCGTATGTACATTTATTTCTATTTAATAAGAAATCGTAATAATCTTAACATTTCCTAATACATATCTTATAGATATTGTAATGTTACGTTTATATAATAGACTAATTTATAGAGAGCGCTATTTATATCTGTGACATATTTTTCAATAAATATTCTACTTTGTATTATTATTTTATTGTTGACCTATATGATTATTTCGAATGTAGGTTATGTTGTGAAATATATGTTACATCGATACTATTAACATTTTTTATCAATTTAATAGTGTTTGCGAATAAAGTATTAATTATAATATTTTAAATAATCTTAGTTTTTTATTCATAATTATTTATCTTATTTAACAATGAAAGATTAAAATGAAATGTATATTTCAAATGATATCTTATTTAGAGACATAATTTAAAATATTTTACAAAGTATATTTATTACAGAGTACTGCTTTTTTAAATTGTGGTATAATACCAATCAAATAAATAGTAGTTTGGCATTTATTTGTTTGGGCAAAAGAGATCTCAGAAATAATAGATTATCATCATCCTCTATAATATCAGAAAACTATAACAATAATAATTTACCATATATACAGTCTCGTACATTTTATATAACACCAATATGGTATGGTCAAGAATCATCTTCTAAAGTAGAAGAAACTGTAAAAAATATTAAAGAACAAAAAGAACTCAAACTTAAAACACAAGAATCTATTCCAAGTATATCAAAACCAATGGAAAAAAAGACAAAACTATGGCAAAAGGTCAAGGCAGAAATTATACATTATTATCATGGATTTAGATTGTTAGGTCTTGATATGAAAATTTCAGCAAAATTGATATGGAGAATTTTACATGGTAAAGAACTTAGTAGAAGAGAACATAGACTTGTAAGTTCTAAATGATATTATGTACTTGCAATTAATAATTAAAAATTACATTCATTTTATAATTTTAATAATCTTTTTAATCTAAATATTTGTAGCTTATAAAGACAACAGGAGATGTATTCAGACTTATTCCTTTCTCTGTTTTTGTTATTGTTCCATTCATGGAATTATTACTTCCAGTTGCTATTAAGCTTTTCCCTGGATTATTACCATCTACTTTCCAAACAGCAACGGAGAAAGAAGATAAACTAAAACAAGCATTAAAGGTACATATGTTTCTTTATAATTTTTTACTTCTTCTTTTAATGAATTATATATAATTTTTGGTTTTCAGATTAAAATTGAAATGGCAAAATTTTTGCAAAAGACATTGGATGAAATGGGAGTACAGTCCTCTGACTATAAATCAAAAAAAGCCAAAGAATTTGCTGAATTTTTTTATAAAGTTCGATCGTCTGGCACTGTAGCCAGTAATGAAGAAATCATGCAATTTAGTAAACTTTTTGAAGATGAGATCACATTAGATTCTCTTACACGTCCACAATTAGTTGCATTATGTAGGGTATTAGATGTACAAACTCTTGGAACGTCGAACTTTCTACGATTCTTACTTAGAATGAGACTTAGAAGTCTCACTGCAGATGACAAAGTAATTTTTATGTATATATTTTTTGAGAAGTCATACGAAATGCACATATAATAATAATTAATATTTATCTTTACAGTTAATTGAAAAAGAAGGTATAGATTCACTTACTAGAAGTGAATTACAGCAAGCCTGTAGAGCACGCGGAATGCGAGCATATGGATTACCAGATAGTAAATTGAAGGAACAAATGACCCAATGGTTAGACTTAAGTTTAAATAAAAAAGTTCCACCTTCATTGTTGCTCCTTTCACGAGCACTTATGGTTCCTGAAACGATACCTATGTCAGATAAATTGAAAGCTACCATTTCTGCCCTTCCTGATACTGTTGTTGCTCGTACTCAAGGTGCAATAGGAGAAAAGGAAGGCAAAATGGACCATAAAACTAATATTGAAATTATTAAAATGGAGGAACGTAAAATCGAAGAAGAGAGGCAAGAGATGGAACCACAAGCTACTGTTACCACCGAGAGCCATAAAACTGACGAGATTACGAATACGGATGTCAAAGTGTTAGAACAGGCATTAGATTCTCTTGGAAAGGTTTGTAAGAATTATATTATCATAGCGTTATATTAGTACCTTTGTTATTTTTCAAACTAAAATATATGTCTAATTTTTTGATAAAGGATAACAAGATGTCTGTTGAAAAAGAAGAGTTGAAAGAGCTCAAAGAAGAAATGGCTGATTATCAAGAGGATCTTAAAGAACTTTATGAAATAAAAGCAGCTGCCAAAGGCCAGGAAGATATAGAAAATATTAAAATATCTAAAGGCGCTACACGTTTGTTTAAAAAAGTGAATAAGATGATTAGTAAAATGGATGCAGTTTTGGAACAACTTGAATCTGAGAAACAAGAGAAAAAATTACAAAAGATAAATAATGCTAACACAGGGGATACTACTACTTCAGAAACCGCCGAAGAATTAATTAAAATAGGCGAACTAATTTCAGCGATTAAACAAATTCAAAGCGTACCTGATCAGCATCGATTACAACGCATAACCGAAATTTTAGCAAAAATTGACGACGATAGAGATGGAGCTATCAAAATAGAAGATGTTTTAAAGGTAACATATAAAATAGAATAAATAATAAAGTAAATAGTATGTATAGTAATTTCAAATGATGTTTTTAAGGTGTTAGAATTAATTGGAAAGGAAGACATTAAACTAAGTAAGAAACAGGTAGACGAAGTGCTTGAACTGATTGATAAAGAAGAAATTTTAGAAGAGAAAGAACAGATCCAAAAGGTGTTAGAAAAAGATGCAATTGAACTTAAAGATGGAAAATGTACTGAAACAGAATATGTTTCACCTAAATCACCTGTTCCTGCTACGCCTGTAACGACCGAGAAAGGTTTCGGAACAGAAAAATTAGAGGAAAATGGAAAATCGAACAAAAGTTTTTCTCCACATTCATCTGAACAAGAAAGAGAAAAATCAGCTGCTGTCCTTAAAAGTAACACCAGTTCTGATTCGGTCAGAAGCCCACCATTAACTCCCGGTGTGCCACCACCGGCAAAAAAAGCGGAAGGCTCTAAGCAGTTATAATTACCGCACAATTAAATACTATTAATTTCTGTAATTATGAATACAATCTTTTTATTGGGTACTGATTTAGAATGCTATTATATTTTCATCTCTAGATAATATTTCTACCTCTATAATATGATGTTATTATAAACTTATTTTTTTTTTGCAAATGAATTCACATAATGCAAAGTGTTTGCATAAGAAACAGTTGCAGTAGTTCCATGTGTATAGTAACGCTCTTTATGATAATTGTTGCTATTACATGCATGACTTCAAACATTTATAATATTTGATTAAATATAAAAAAAGATATTAATATAATTTTTTATTTACAACTAAAGCAGATTTAGAATATTTAAGACTGTGATGCATTTAATGGCATCAACATATTATTTGTTCCATAAATTTTTTTAGACAATATGTGCTGGACACAAAAATGCTATTTTACATGTAAATTTTCAGTTAATGTAAAATTGTTTCTAAAATTGTACGTAACAATATTATTACTAACATTAACAATGGGTAATGAAATATGATAGAAGTATTTATTAAGCAGTTTTTGTTTTAATAAAACCTAATTCCAAAACATTGTAATATCATAAGGAATCATTCCAGCTGCTCAAGTATTGATTATTATTACAGGATTTTAATTCATAAATCATCGATCACCTATGTTTTGCTGTACAATAAAACACTTGCATCTCTGTAACTGAGGTTAAAACAAGATGTACATTTATAAATAAAGTAATTAATTGCTAAGTACACAATAGAAGACTAGCGATTACGTGTATGTAATTGTTCCACAAAAACGCAGTTACATAATAAAGTGTACAATATTTTAGTAATAAGTATTATGCATTACATGAAAAATTGTACATTTTAAAATTAAATATTCACTGAATGTTAATTATAATCGAAAGGTAAATGAAAATTATATTTATCGAGAATAAACTTATCAAAAAATACTAAGCATATCATTTCTGCAAGAGTTATAAAATTTTCGCAACTAGACTATGAACATTTCGATGTTTTTACATAGTAATATACGTACAGGTATACAAAATAAGACACATATATTATCATATAAAAGTTATTCTATTTTAGAAATTATATAAATGATATTAATATTAATTTTTTAGCATTTGTATATCAAGCTGCCAGTTTATATGACAATATTCCGGTATAAAAATTATAGCAATTTTTTATAGTTAAAGTTAATAGTCAATTTTACATTGAGTATAAAAAAATATTAAAAAATTATTACATGTACGTAAACAATTATAAACTATATATATTAATATAAAAGATATTAATATGGATACTCCCATTTGTTTCAAATTTTTATAATATATATTTAATTATGATAATTACTATCTTTAATTATTATGAATTTTCTGGATATTCCATTTTATCGATTATTCTATAAATTTTAGACATGGATCTTTCTATCTTTGATAACTATTTTTATTTAAATTAATACAACTTCTTTAACAGCTCAATTATAAATATATGAGTATAGTTTTAAATTGTTAAAAATAAAATTATTCAAATTTCATAAATTGATTCTAAAATATTGGTGAGATGATTTACACATTTCACAGTATCACAAATTACTCATATTGAAATATTTATTGGATTGGAATATTAATTTTGAAATTTACTTGTGTACAAAGAATGTTATGTATACGATAAGTATTTTAGTAATTTTATTTTATTCCAAAATTTACAAATAAATGAGAAATATAAAGATTTAGTAACGACTTACATATAGCATAAAATTTCAATTCATAGCACATGTATGAATAGAGAGTGAATACTTCATCCTGCCGGTTACCTGTCCACTTGTACAACAGGTGCAGGTTTTTGTGTATATTTAGTCATAATGACTGCATTAGGTGGTTTTATGGAATTTTTTCAGAAAGGAAAGGTAAATATAAATTTTCACTTAAGTCAAGTTCTTTTAAATTTTAATAAAAATCCTAACCTGATATAAAATATTACCGATTACTTTTTACATTTATACATATTTTATTTAAAATACATATAAAAATATACAAAGTTATTCATTCTTTGTGAAATTAAATTATATTTACTGGTATATACATATTTTGTTTAATTTATTATTACGGAAAATCTTCAATAATGTATTCTAAATTGTTCAAATTTTTTAGACATTTAGGCCGAAAAAAAAATTTGCTCATGGAACATTACGATATTCATTGCATAAACAAGCACAAGCTTCATTGAATTCTGGAATTAATTTAAGATCTGTTGTGAAATTGCCTCCAGGAGAAGATTTAAATGATTGGATTGCAGTTCATGGTATTTAAAACTTTTATTTATAATTATCTACTGTATGAAAAATATACTAAAAGGAACATGATTTTTATAAATGATATAATTTCAGTGGTAGATTTTTTCAATAGAATAAATCTAATATATGGTACTGTGTCTGAGTATTGTGACTCTGCGTCTTGCCCAACAATGAGTGGTGGATCCCGTTTTGAATACTTATGGGCAGATGGTGAAAAATATAAAAGACCTACTGCATTGCCAGCACCACAGTATGTCAGTCTTCTCATGGATTGGATTGAAGCACAAATTAATAATGAAACCATTTTTCCTGTATCAACAGGTATAAAACTTTGAAAAGAAGATATTAGTTCAATTATTTGATAAGTTATTCATGTAAAAATTATTTTTTTTTTTTTTAGATGTACCATTTCCAAAAACGTTTGTTCCACTATGTAGAAAAATTTTGACACGTTTGTTCAGAGTTTTTGTTCATGTGTACATACATCATTTTGATCGTATTGTAGCAATAGGAGCAGTAAGTCCATATCTTTACATAGTTAATGAAATATTATATTGTTATAATGACATTTGAAATGTTTATTTTAGGAGGCACATGTGAATACATGTTATAAACACTTCTATTATTTTGTAACAGAATTTGAATTAATAAATACAAAAGAATTAGAACCACTAGCTGAAATGACTGCTAAAGTTTGTAAAGATACAGCATCACCAACACAAACAACAGCACCATCAAGTAATGCTAGATAGTGCTGAGCTTATAACTGCATGAAGTCATAACCAAATTAGGATGAACCAAATTCGTTTTAATGTAAGTAAAAGAAGTAATACGCTTTTAATTTTATTGTTATAAAAAAAAGTAACAGTATTTTTGTTATTAGGATGCCACAAGATATGAATATCATCTTTATTGCCATTTAGAAAATTGAAGAATTTCATCAAATGCTTTATTATGTATAGTGCTTATATGCTCCTATTATTATATTAAGTATAATTTTCTCACTTTGGGATAACTAATTAATGTAAGTATATTTTTTTCTAGTGAGTCATATTGAACAAATTATACAACTAGATATTAAGAATTCACATATTTTGTGGATAAATAATCACAGCAATAAATTATGTTTATATATTTATGTGTTTTGGAATTAGTTTGTATGTCTTTTAATGTGTGTACAAACTATCATTTAGTTTTATAAAGAAGTGAAACGTTATTTAAAAAATGATTTCATAAAAATATATAATTGTACATATAATTTTGCGCCATTGTGATGCTTATGTAATATTCTTATGTATTGTATTAAAAACTAAAAACATTTTCTACGAAATTAAATAATACTGTAATAACAACAGAAATAGAATATCACATATTACAGAAAAGTGCAAATTTAAAAAAGAATAAAACATAATAAACCAATTTCTATCATAAACATTTATTTATTATTTTTAATTAAATAAATAAGTTAAAATGGTTAATACAAAAAGTATTCCATATGATTTTTTTAAGTAGGTACTTCTGTCAAATACAATTTCTTTTTCTTGCAAAATATAAGTTACAAAAAATTGAGTTTTTTAAAGATCAATTTATTATGTTTAAGCCAGATAATACATAGCTTGGAAATGAAATGTATCACTTGCTGACCAAAATTAAAATAAGACTATAAAATATAATTAAAAAGTAAATATAAATTTTTTTTTATAACTTTTATCACTTTATAGTTACAATTGTACTTTACAGTTATAAATGGTTTATATTTTTAGTCTTAGTTTAATTCAAATATTTTGCTAAAAATGATGTTATTTGCAACTTATTCTATGTTCATTGCCGGAAATGTGTTTATATTCGCAATCTGTACATGCCGCTACGAATTAGATTATAATCTGGTAAATTTTCGATTGGTCCAACTGCTGCGATTACTGGACACTGATCATAAATATACTTCATACCAACTTCATGAATATTTTTAGCAGTCACACTCTGTAAATGATTTTGGTGATATTATAATTGAATTTGAAATGTTGAAAATATTCAAATATTACTTACTTCTATTCTAGCCTCAAGTTCATGAAGTGGTATGCGTCGATTATAACACAGCATCTGTCGACCAATGTCTTCACAAATTGCAGTTGTGCCATCTAACTGAAGGAGCATATTTGTTTTAAGAATGTTTTTTGCACGATTTACTTCTTTTTCTGTTATTGTCAAGCATAATCTCATCCATTCACGTTGTATATTATATACAAAATGTTCAATTTCCAAAGGATCACTCACAAAATATATTCCCCAAAGACCCGTGTCCTATAGAGAAAAAATGATTAATATATGATAAGCATACAATTAAATATATATATACACATAATTAATATAATTAAGTTGTAAGTACTTGATAACAAGTATTAAAACTTTGGTAACTGTGACATAATCCTGCAGCTGCAGAAGCTTCTGCCAAATAACTTATATTGTTTGCTCCACCGCCTTGGCTGCGATCCCATGCGCCCATAAGGGTATTTGCAACCATAAGAGGAATATTATCTGCATCTGTCCAACCAGGTCCTTCAACAGCAATGGCTACATGTGCTAGTGGAATATTATCGTCACGAACTCTTATTTCTGATCCCGTAAAACGGCATGGTAATGGTGGACAGAGAGGAATTTCGTCATAGAATGGCCCTTTCATTTGGCCAAAATGTGTTTGAGCTAAATCTACTAGAGTTTTGTGATTTACACCACCTGCACCAGCTAAAATGAATCTGTGAAGGAAGTTTAAGAGCTTTTAGAGATACAAATATAATAAAGGTATTTTATGAAAACTTATAAGCACATACCTAGGTGGACCATAGTGTGTCTTAACGTAGTAAACAAGGTCATTTTTTGTAATACTTTTGATATTTTCAGTTGGGCCAAGAATTGTTCTTCCTAATGGTGTGCCCTGATATGCACTAGCATGTAAATGATCAAAAACAACTTCTTGAAGATTTGTTTCAACTTCCTGCATTTCTCTCAAGATAACACCACGTTCTCTTTCAATTTCAACCTCACCAAGTTTTGAATTTTGAATGATATCACTTAAAATTTCAACAGCTTTTGGAACATCTTCGGCCAAACATTTGGCATAAAATACTGTTTGTTCTCTACTTGTGTATGCATTTAAATGAGCACCCATGTTTTCAATTTCTAATTCTAAATCAGTTTGTGAACGTTTAGTAGTTCCCTGTATACAATATGTATTTTAACTATTACTTTCAATATTTCCTTTCAAGTACATTTGAAAAGTGTCAACCTACTTTGAAAGCCATATGTTCCATAAAATGAGCAACTCCATTGACTTCATCATCTTCATAGCGACTCCCAGCATCTATCCATAGCCCAACAGTAGCTGTTGGTGCTCCACTATCTTCAGTAGCAACTTTCAAGCCACAATCTAAAACTGTAACCTGCGTTGCTGGTTGATTTAGTAATATTTCTTTAAGTGATGTTGATGTGGACTGCCATTGCTTTGGTACCTGATTTAAGCATAATTACAAATATACCAAAAACAACTTAAAAAACAAGAATATAAAAAGCTAAAAAATCTTATACTGGTTTATTTATGAACTTATTTAAAAAATGTATAAAGATCACTCAAAAATTTTTTAAGCTGAAATAATAATTAATAAGTGAACTAAATGTAAATTCAATAATATTACAAATTGTTAAAATGTTTTTAATAATATTACAATTGGTAAAATATAGTTAATATAATCATTATGATAATATATAAAAGAGCTATCTGTCAAATTTTTAATTTACTGCTAATGTTAGATAATGAGATGAATTATATATATTAATGTTATGACAGCTTGATACAATTACTTCCATATACATTAAATGACTTGAGTTATTATATTTTATTTCTTGTTTATTCATAGTAATATATCATGTTTCTTTTGTTTTTACAAACTTTCAATAAATTATTTCTTATTACGTAAGGAGTAATGAAATCAATGAATTTTCGTCTTGAGAAAATCATATTAATTTTAATATAAATTTCAGAGGAATGTTCTGATATAATTTACTAATAGTATTATTATTATGAAAACTCTGATTTTATTACCTTTACAAGGCTGGTTTTATTAGAATAAGCTCGTAACGCGGAACTAACTTTAAGCAAACGGGTCGCCATGTCTAGGACCTTGTAACTGCACGACAAGGATGGTAATGCAGTTCGAACTAAAGCTTGGAGCTAATTTGGACAAACTTTTTAATGCTATACATATATGAATAAATATTGATAAAATAATACATACAAATTTATAGAATATGTAATAAAAAATTAATATAATATTAATTCAATTATACAAAAGTTCATGTAATATAAGATTAACAATAAGTTGATCCATTTAAAATGATATAATACAGTAGAAATTATTTAGTTAAATTTTATACAATGTTTATAATATTTTTATCTTTTAATGGAAATGTTTGACATTGAAGAAAAGTGTTTATAGCCTATTAAATATTGAAAATTATTGCCGCGTATTATATGGTAAATATTAAAATATGCGCGTTGTTTATTTGATCATAAATTTTATGGAATACTTATATAGGGAATTTTATTATATTGAAAAAATTCCCTATTTCATTGTTGGTATCTACTGTGAAATTTGAAAACCGGTAGGATTGACAGCCATTCTACGCATGTAAATATTTTTCTCTTGAATGAAATAAGTAATTTGTTTAAACGTTGTTAGATCTTTAAGTCTTAGGTTAAGTATGGATAACTTAAACGATACTACTGAAAATATAGATCATTCTATTCAAATGTTTAATCAAGAAAATGCTCAACGGAAGTCATTTTTGAGGTTAAGCACAAAGAGTACAACTCCTAAAAGATTGTCTTTACAAACCAATAATTATTTACGAAAAGATTTAGATGATTCTTGTCAAATTAATGATATCAGTAGTCCAAAATTATTGGGCAAATCTTATCCTAATTCAAGATCAATGAGGGGACATGATCTCTTGGATATTGACAATTCATTAACACTTACTCCTCATGAAGTTCGAGATATTTTGGCTATATCAGAGAAGACTGATCTCACTTTGAGAGAAATGATGGAAGATAGTGGTGCAACTGGCATGATTTTAAAAGCAAAGGAACCTTGGAGAGATATCATGAATAAACTTTATTATGATTTTTTACATAGTATACAGATGAACGTTTCAGAAACACAAGTATTTGATACTATTGCCGATTTTATACAGAATTGTACAGATACATTAGATATAATGAGAGGTATGTATAATTAATTTATTAACTTTATGTGTGTATTACATTTTGTATATAATATATTTTTTTTTTTTTTAATTTAGGTATGCAGTCAAAAGTAGAAACTACTGAAATTTCAGATGAAGAAATTTCTTTAGAAAATGAAAGAAACACATGGAGACTAATTTATTGTTTATATCAAAATAGAATAAATAGTTTGAATTTTCCTAATCCAATGGAAGATGATTTGGAAGAAAGTAATACATACATATCAGAAAAAGTTGTAATAGATAACCTATTTAAGTCTGAAAGTTACATTAGGGAATATCAATTAATAATAGACTGGTTGGAAAAAAATGCATTAGATCAAGCAGACAAATATCCAACCACAGAACATTTCACAGATAAAACACTTGCATGGGAAAATACTGTGAGACAATTGTTGGCATATAAAGACATGGATCAAATTCCATTTCGTTCATCAAGGCCATTGATATCTTCCTTGGATCCGGATGCTCCAATAAGAGAAGGGAAACCTTTACATGATTTAGATAGAGAAGATGATACAAGACTTGAGAAAAGAATGTTTATAGAGGTACAAGATTTCTTTATTAATGAATTAAATAAAAAAGAAAGATGAGTTAAAAAATTATATTAGAAAAATATGATATGAAAATGTATCTTTTTCAAATAGGTTCGTTGTGGTCGTCTTCAAAAAGCGCAAGCATTAGCCGAACATTGTGGACAACCTTGGAGAGCTGCATGTTTGATAGGATGGATACCTCATCATGATCCTAACTATCAAAATCCATTACCTGATACTAAATTACCTATCGAAGGAAATCCTAATAGAAGCCTTTGGAAATTATGTGCTTGGGAACTTTCCCAAGACAAGCGTGTAGGTAATGATATTCCTATTATATATACCACTAAATATAACTCGCTGAGTATAGGTTTTATATTTAATATTGTTTCATGTTTAGGTCAATTTTATCGCACCATTTATGCTAGTCTTTGTGGAAATGTTCAACAAATGTTACAAGTCGCATCTTCTTGGCAAGATGCATTGTGGGCATATATGAAAACATTATTAGATATTAAAGTAGAAAGGGAAGTGAGAGATCTCGTGATAAAAAGTTTTACGGACATGCCTGACGATTACTGGAACAACGAGATTTCATTGAAAGATGTATTTAAAGAACTTCATGCATCAAAAAATCCGATTATTCGAACACAATCAAATGAACCCGATCACTTAATTCAGAAATATTTGATATTGGATCAAATACCGAAATTGATGACGGAAATAGAAAACATGATAGATTCGAGAACTTGTGATCCTCACTTTCTAAGATTTCTAGCGCATCTGATCTGCTTCTTTCGTCAGATCGGAAAAAATACAAAGGATAAAATAGGAGATAAAGTTTTATTAGCATATGTTCGTGTTTTAATTGAAATGGGTGATCCAATTTTAATCGCATTTTACACAGCTATGTTACCCCAAGAACTTCAAGTAACGAATTATGCCAGTTATTTAGAGTCCATAAAGGATTATGAACAGCGTAAAAAATGTTTAACAGCAGCAGAAGATGCCAATCTAAATGTAGAGGCAATTACGAAATTAGTAGTGGAAAGTATACGTTCTAAAAATATTGAGATTGATCTCTCAGATTTAAAAGGTACTATAACTGATGCGGATATAGACAAGATTAATGCATTGGATTGGTTAATATTTTATCAAGGACAACGAGAAGAAGCATTGTGGCAAACTAATGCCCTTATAAGATATTTTTTGACAAATGAAAAAATTGATGCTGCTAGGAAAGCTTTTAATAAGGTAGAAGGCTGAATAACTTATTAATGTTTTTGACTTCCATTTTGTATGTTATTTAATATTATATTTGGTTTTAGCGTTACTTAGCATTATTTTTTTGTTTCACTTGATTTACTGTATCGAATATTTTATAGTGTTGTTTTTTATTACTTTGATGTTATAAATATAATTAATCATATATTAAAATATTTAGAAATTCTTTGTTTATTAATTTGTGTAGATTCCGGCGGATTCCATTGAATTTATCATGTCTGAATATCCAACTATGGAAGGCACACTAACAAATCTTACAATGACGAACAATCTGTCGAAAAGAGCGTCTTCTGTGATTCGGGAATATCTATGTTATAAAACTTATCTTGATGCTCAAGAAGGTTTCGTCGAGTGGTTTTCTCATTATCATCACGGAAAGCCTACGCCATTGAAAGAGTTGCCTGCATATGCCACATTTACTGAAAAAGTTGCATACGAACATAAAAATGCACAGTACAATGTAGAAATGGAACGTTGGAAGTCTACGATGCAACATCATACTAAGGTTCATAAAATAAAATTTGATACATGTTGATGTAAAATAAAGATTGTTAAACGTTTATAGGATTATTAATTTTATAGGCAGTTAAACAATTATTGTTCAATGTATTACTATTTCCGGATGGTGGGTGGTTGGTTGATTCAAATAATAATAACGACGATCCATGTACACCGGAAGAAGTATCTCGCGAACATCAAATGGAAAAATTACGGGAACTTTGTATTCCAAAAATTACTCTTCTCTTGCATTCTGTGATGTCCGAAATGAATGAACACGCTGATTGCATCCAATTAGCAGATCTTCTTGCTTCTGAACAGTATCAACTTTATAAGGTATATATTTACATGCAGCTTCTATATTATAATAAAATGTTATTGAAAAGGAAGAGAAAAACAATCAATATTTTAATTTATTTTAGGTGTTCCAGAAGGAAAGACTACGCGAAGTATTTAAGAAAATTTGCGAGTCTTCCCTTGTATTGATGGATCAAAAAAAAGATCCTTGGGGATATCCAAAATAAACCTTTTAGGACACTTCGACAGAAAATTAAAAAAGTTTAATTTAATTTAATTGTATGTATAATACGATTTTTTGGAATTCGAAATCAAACAAATTTATGGACATATTTTTATGTTTTTTATAAAACCAGTTTATTGTCAACCACAAGAAGTGAATATAAAATTTGATACAATGTTCAATAATTCATAATCATAATATATTATATACTTCATGATTACTTAGAGGCTCCTTTTACCCAATCGTTAATAAATGTTGCGCTGTCAAAGCTGTAGATTTAAGCTGTAGATTTAAATATTGCAGAGAAACTCAGGGACAATGAAGGACATACATTATCCTGAGATATTTTCATTCGAATAATAACCATCGTAATTCCACGATTTTTCTTTATGGTTTAGCCACTTCTAACTCTCGTACCCATTGTTGGCATCTTTCGGACTTCGGACGTGAATCTTGCGTACAATGAATAAATACATATATCTTTATTTCTATATGTAATTTCAGGAGAAATATTTTTTTAAGGAGCTACGTATCAAACAAAAAGATTGGAACCACGATAAAAAACAAAGATGCTCATGATGTATGGCGTATATTGAAATTTCTAAATCTATTTTCATATGTAGGTGATACTTTTTGCTGGCAAGAGCAGTCTTTTTATAACTTTTTTTTCCGAGAGTATTCTCTCTACGTGGTTTAATGCGTACATTTATATCTTTTGCCCTTAGTTATTATAGGAAAAGAAAAAAAGAAAGGAGAAAAAGAAAACAGATTAATGACATAATTGAACCTTCGAGAACTTGTGTACTGTGTATAAACTATATCAAGAAAATAACACTGCACAGAAATGCTTTCATATGATCGAAAATGATCAATCAAATTTTTATCTTCACATGTTTCTATCAAGAGGATTAATTACGCTTTTCGTAGATTATTTCAAGCGTCAATTTCGCGTAACTATTCACGAACGAATTGGAACAGGAAGAATATATTTCGGAATAATTGACCAAAATATAGATGTTTACTCGATGTTTATACGAATTATTTTCGTTTTATATTTTAGAGTTCTTAGGCGAAGTGGAATTTTACCTGCTTGGACAGCTATTGAAAAAAATTATTGTGTTCAAATTCAATAGTTAATTTGATAGTGAAATAAAATCTAAGAACCCTAGAAGTATAGATTTAATAATATATTATGTTTCGCAAATCTTTGAACTTATTTCAGAAAGCTACAATGCATATGATAAGCTGATCAATCGAGTTCAATGTATTACCAATATTCCATGAAAGAATTTTTATATTATACAACGATCTTGTTGCTGATTTTAAGAAAAATGAATGTCCGACGTGGGGATGCAAATAATAGTGTTGTAGCTTTGTGAAACAAGTTTTCTGAGCATTCGTATCCTTACGATATCTATTTATCGATCGACGATACACAAATCTTTTAGCGTAGAATCAATTTCACCGTGAGTACAATTTTTGCACAATAACAGATAAAAAGAAGAGGAAAAGAAAGGATGACACGTGCAACATTATACATATACATGGCTTAAAATTCACTATACTGCATTGACATCGAAATTCAAACTCGTATACATCTTTGTATGCAGTTAGCAGGCTTACACTCTGGATCTGGATTAGAGCGATTTATTTTCGCATTCACGATGACCATAAACTTCAGACACGTGCGAGTATTTCGGTGTTTGTTAAATAGAATTAGCTGTCGAATAGCACGTAACCTTTAAAATTGGGCAGCCATGTTTAGCCTAGTGTTTAAACCGCTTGAATACTTTCATAGTTTTTCAATAACAGAAGATACGATGTGCGATGGAACGATTAAGATATCGATATGTCTCGAAACCATGTTCGCACGTGTCTCGTAAAAACACGAGAATCTCGACAATTGAATCGACTTTACAGTAATACGAGTACACGATTAATAGAGAGTTATCTTGTTGATTAGCCTAGTCTAACACGTAAACGTTGAAAAAAACGGTTGACAATTGTTTTACCACTCTTGATAAGCTACGTTATTTTTTTTACTTTTTTGTTTACGCGAGAGCTTGATAAATTCGCCGAAACGTTTCGCACACTTACAAGAATTAAACTCATTTTCGTTTCTTCTCCTTCTCGATATATTTCTCGGATAAAGTAGTTGATTTTAAATTTTACTTCCTTTTTTTTTCTTTTTTCGTTTCTTCGTTTAAACTTCACGAACTAAGTTATTTTTCTACGAGATGTTCTAATTACTAATGAGTGTGAGTCAGCATGTTCAAAAACGACTTATCTACGATTACTTGGATATGAATTTATGAATTTCTTTCCCTTCTACTCTTCGCACTCGTGTTCGACCATTAACGGGCTACTAGTCTATTAACTTTCGATCAAATCCAAACACGGCTCATCGAGACGTTCTCCCTTAACGATAAAATATTACAACACTCGCTCAACGTTACTAGTCGTTCAAAAATAGATCCTTAAAATTTGTTAAACACAACTCAGGACGGTCTATCTTAATAAATCAATTCTTATCATGCCACTTTGTACCTTCCCCATATTGCACTCGACGAATTTCCAGATCCTTTTCGAAACTCCCGCCTTCTAAATTCTATACTCGATTCTCGTCTCGTTTCCATTCGTTTCTTCTTTACAAGTACATCACATGTACGCAATTTCGATAATCAGAGGAAGAAACCATAGTATTCCAAGAGTGCAAAGAGCCGAAGCAATTAATATACCGTTTCTCCTTTTTTCCTCTCGCTCTCTACGCCTTGTTCTTAAGTGTGAAAATATATTCTACCACAAGGATAAGATTCAGAAAGATATTCAGTTTTAAAAGTCTTCCAGTTATCTCTACGATATATCGTTGAAACAAGAAGACCTTCGTCGTTACATACATATTGACAGTGTTATACATTCGTTCGATTAATCGACACCATTAAAATCGCTAGTTCGAATGTTCTTTACTTATCTCTATGTTTCATCGCTGAATCTTTCGCTCTTTCCTCTTTCCTCTTTCGATCGATTCTCGATTCGTCCGCAATTTTTTCCTTCTTCTTTACTATTTTACCATTCGACCTTCCGAAATATTCCTCAGACGGCTTTTGGGAAAAATCAGAGACAAATGCCGATCTCGAATATACTCCACGATTTTCATCTAATCTCTTTACATTTAAATTCAAGAAAAAAAAGAAAGACAGACAAAGAGAGAGAGAGAGAGTGTGTGTGTGTGTGTGTGTGTGTGCATGTGTGTGTAAGAGAATGTGGGAGATGGATATTTTTCTTTAAATAAAATACCAATCGAGAACGTTTTTCTTTAAATCTTTCATGCCTTACATTAGGGATATGTTTGTTAGGGATATGTGAGGAGATAATGGTAGAAGAAAAGAAGAAAAATGGTAGAAGAAGGTATAACGAATACAGAAGCCTTTCGAAACTATCAGCCAACAAGGGATCACGCAAAGAGGAACATTCTCGCGAATATTTCGATCTACCATCATCGAATTGAGCGCTGACGAGATAGGATTACGTTCTATCGATCTCTTATGTTTCTCTTATTCGCTTAAATTCCTCGAATCGAAAGATCCTTGCGTGGATCGGCGCGTATGGAAGAGAATTGATACGAGTAAAACGGTATTTGGACTATGATACGAGAGACACAAAATGTAAACATGATTACTCGCTAAAAGGTAACAGCTAACGATTCGAAATTCACGCTTGGGGTGTCGTACACCGAAATGAGGCCATCGTTACGATCTGATCGATGTGTCGCTCGGTGATACGATCGTTCTCAATTCTTCTACATGTTCTCCGTTTCATTCTTTGTTGTTGCTTTTAGATTACACGACGATACAGCGAAAAGAGAAGATTCTCACTTAGCCTCTAAACTATCGTTTGCTCCTTAACTGCTAACAACGTGAGTGACATGGCCGGGCTGCTCCGCGAATAACCCTATGGGGTGAAGTGAAAACGAGAGATAAAGGGACAGAGAGGAAGAGACAGAGAGAGAGAAAGAGAGAGGAAGATATACATGAAACGTGTGTGTATGTATGTATATATATATATATATATATATATATATACGAAAGAGAGGAACAGAGAGAAAAAGAGAGGAGAGGAGAGACGAGATTAGAAGATCTTTATATTCCTATCTAAAACTTTCGTTTGTTCTGTACACTCATTTATATAACTAGTAGCTTAAATCGGCGGACTTGTGGGCCGTTTAATTTCTGCTTTGTACACTTACATCTCGAATAATTGATCCGTACAGATACACAATTTTTCCTTTTTTTTTCTTTTTTCTTTCTTTTTAACAGACGCTGTCCCGCTACGGAGCGTTTTCGTCGTGGCGCCATCGCGAATGGCTACATTATTGTCAGGTCTAATCGACCAACACGACCCATTCGTCGATATTTGTACTTGAAGGGTACGATCGTGATTATTGTCCGAATCGTGTCAAAATTCAGAACGGTAAAACGTATCCATGAATATTGTCAAAGGTTCGAGCAGCGTTGCTTCCTTATTGTAAGTCGTTTGGATACGTCCTACCATCCCCACCATAAAATATAGGATTCTTTAGCCGCAAATAATTGCTTTATTGTCCGAGTAAGTTTGGCAGACGACCGACCCTTACGGCAAGTAGCTCGTTTATTGTCTCGAGTGAAAGCTCCAAAATGCAGGACAGCGATTCGCAAGGAGCCTTTTCCGAAATGTTCCATCTTCCTCCTTGCTCGCCCGACTACCGCTCGATTCTTCGGAGCAGCCCCCTGAACTTTCGATCTGGCACATAGGTACCATATTATTGTCGTTCACAGGAGTAGGAGTTTTATATCCGCTTACGTGCTACAATCCGCCTCGCTCTCTTAGACTCGCTTAGACTCAGACTTAGGACTTAGGACTTAGGACTCGCTTAGAAAAAAGAAGGACAGATAAGGGCGAAGGGGTAGAAAGCAGTAGAAAAGGAAGAAGAACGGAAATGGCGACGAGGCTGCGTTATTCTAAGCGATGCAGATGCGAAGAAAATCCCGTGGAATCCTTTCCAGGACTTTGTCGCTGTCGGGTATGAAAGCGGAAACATTGGGATTGAGACGTGTCGTATCGTGTACGTTAAGCGAGTTGTCGACTCCGTCTTATTGTCGCTTAATCAATTTTACAAACGCGCGTGGTACGTATGCCTATTTAACACCGTTGATTTTTCGACGCATCTGACGTGAAAGCTTGGGCAACGATGTCCAATGTATTCGTCGCACGGTTTCAAGAATTATTCGATGGGGCAACGAGTCGAAAGGTATGGATACTGTCGTGTGGTTATCGCGATAGGTAACTGCAAACGAATGTAAATTGGACAGCGTTGACAGCTAAACGACGCAAGTTTCCGAATTTTGATTTTGGTATTTCATATTATATGCATGTAGTACCTCATGTAATGTATGTATGTTTAATATATATATAATGTTTATGTTAGGTATGTATGCATATGTAATTAAATAGAGGCTGGTCTTCGTGCGATAAGCAATCGGAATTGCAAAGAATTTTGTTCGCTGCTGGCAATTTTGAGGACACCCCGTTACTTAGAATCTGGATACCGTATAGCTTTTATATTCACGTTTAAAAAGTGGGCGAGATATATCTTTTTCGCTACTTTGATATTCTCTACTTCTCTAGAGTGATTATGTATTTTTCTGATTTCTTGGTTGCACAACATCTTACTTTCTGCACGTATCGCGCTAGTTGTCGATTTGTACGTCACTTTGAATAGGTATCTTTGATTTCTCGTTAAGTCAGGCTAATCGTTTTACTCGATATATCTTTATAAAATAAAATATTTATCATTTCTTTTGCGAACTCGCGACGTACGATACGTTTAACGCGCTAGAAACCAGTTCCTAAGTACTACAGGGCATCTCTTGACCGAGTGGTTCCTAATTCGTGTAATTAGAGAAGTTTATTATCTGTACCCAAGGCACATTTTATACTTTCATTCCGTTTTAGGAAGGTCCACTCTATAGTATGTACATATTATAGCATTGTTACACGTATAGGGGATAGTTTGTAACTGTATCACCCTTAAATTACATAATGTCTGACGTTACCTTGTACATATTTTCTTGTTTTTTCTTCAGCGATTCCTTCATCGTTCGCTACTCTACGTATTATTGTCAAGTCGACAGCATTTATAAATGTATGTATATCTTAAGTACTACTCAATCTTTAATGTTACATTATACTCAACTATAGCTTTGTGCAAAATTTACATTGTACATGTACCACGGATACTTTCCCCGTTCTTTCGTTTATCACCGATATGCACCGATCGTATCGATCGATTCTCTTCGACGAATTATATTTCTCCCCTCTAACGATGAACAACATCGAGTTTCACGAGTTATTGTCAGAAATTATCCACGTTTATACCCCGCTCCCGAATTATTATTAATGTCAGAAATTATTCTCCCTCTCCTTTTCCTAAGTAGTCTCTTAAATTCTTAAATTCTTAGTCTCTTAATTTCTTAAAAATCACCTCGAATCTCGTACTCATCACACAGTCCCGTGTTAATATGTGAGTATGTATGTATATAATATATATGTATTTATATGTACGTGTATATATAAATATAAATATACCTATACATATCTATACATAATATAATATGAAATATTGAATCTGATAGATCTTAAAAATATTCTGCTAATCTTTTACGTACAATTAAACCTTACGAGCTAAATACTTTCTTACAACCTTGTATCGTGTTCAGCAGATTTTAACAATCGCTTTGTGTTTTTGTTTTATCACCGTCGTTATTTATGCGAGCTTTGTTAGAATTCGATTTTCCTTTCTCATCCATTTTTTTTTCTTTTTCTTTTACTTTAGCTTAGTCGTCGCACCGTACGCTCATACTTTCCCGGGGATTTTCCGCTAAACGATATTTAAGGGATAATTCATCTTACGAATGTTAACATACTGATGACGATCGTCGCTGTGACCACTGGCAATAACGACATGATCGCGTGTGCGCTGTTGACAACGTGTATCTTCCAGCCCAGATTATTGTGCGCGTAACACTGCGAAGAAAAGAAAATTTTTATATCGAAACATACTTTTCACTCGTGGTACATTATCGTCTCGTTACGTCTCAGGTCCAAAGTGTCCAAATATGTAAATATCCGTACGATATGTCGTCAATACCACATCGATTAATACCTTGATGAATCGTACCTGGTAGTAAACGATATCCGGAGTGTCTTCTGTCACGTTCCAAACGAGTTTCGCAGGCTCACCTTTCACACATTCTAATCTAAGTGTTTCGAAGAAACTCTCAAAAGTCTCCATCTTTTCGCTCATGTCTACGGTTTTGTGAACCCATTCGCAGTAACGACCAGCAGCCGTTGGATAAGGATATCCATCGCTGTCGTATTTTACTCCGGCGAATACTCTTTGTGCCATTTGCTCGTTCTCGGTCTTTTGGTCGAATCCACCTTCTGGACTGTCGGTGATGTAAAACGGGTGGTACCTGCATGGAAAAAGCGCATTTTCGCATTCTATGCAGAGCCGAAATTACACATTCCGGGGCTAATTTAACCGGCATACGATTCGTAAACGAAAGTTCGATTCGCGTGGTTCATTGTCAGATTCAATTCCAATTTTGTGCAGAAAATTTTGCGCAGAATTGCGATTAAATGGCCATGGGCAAGGTATGCGAATACTATGGATTCCGTGTAATTATTAAACGTCAAAGTGATGGCGAAATGAAGGAAACGGAATATAAACTGGATTACTAATAGTTTGATATTTCAACTCGCCTAGCTGGATTAGTTGGATCATTCCCGCCCTCCACTATGAACGTGTACGTCTCTCCTCTCTGAACAGTGATTTCTGGGAGCAGCAAATCGTTGATGTACCACACGATTCCCCAAGCAGGTCGTCCTACATTTTAATTTTCGATCGTTAGAAAGCTAAATCAGTGATATAGAAATTGCACGAAGAGATAGAATCTTTGAACGCATCTAAAACAGAGGAAAAGACACCTGTGATAGTGGAGTATCCTCTACTCCCACCAGCAGGCCCTATCCTCGCGCTGAACGTAGTTTCGTTGGTAATTTGGGCTACCGTCCAGGGTTTGATGTCAGACATGTCCGGGAGGTTGTAGAGGGAATTTGTACACTCGTGTACGTTCCTCGACGTAAAATCAATACGAATGTCCTCGGATGTCTTGTCGAAGCTGTGATGAGCATTAGCTTCTCCTCTCATATTCAGTGGTCCTATCGCCGCGATTATGCTTGTTTCCCTGTTCGGGATCATCCTGTCCATCATCGGCTCGTTCGTGCTCATCGGTCTCATGTAAGTAACTAAAACCACGAACGTTGAAACACACGGTGGTCACGAATGACGGATAAAAAGAGACTCTCACCTGTCGTTATTCCGTTCTTTCTTTCCCCGTGTATAAGAACCACGTCGTTCTTCCCTCCAACCCTTTCATCCGGACATACGCCATTTTTACCGTCACACTGCGCGTAATCCGATATATAGTAGTCCTCTGCGATGAATTTACCGGTACTGCTGTTGTAAGCGGCTACCACCACATCGCCGCCGATCATTTTAGGCTTCCCCTCGGAACCGGATAAACCAAACGCAATGTACTCGTTCTCTTTAATCTTCGCGGACACTCTGATCTGAATGTCTTCCTCTATCATCTCCCACTGGACTTGTATGCGACCATCCAGTAACTCCTTGCAATTGGTCAGCTCGTATTTGGACGCAGGCGGTGACGGTGTGCTTGTCTGGAAAATCATTAACAAGTATTTTTCGTTTACACGCGAGTAGTATATATATGTACGTATATAAATTCAAGATGGCTTTTTTCCAAATTTCAAAAGAATTCTTTCTGATAAATCAAAATCATCTAACGCTCTACTTTACTTACAGGATCGTACCACCAAGGCGGCTATCCCGATAAAAATACATTTCATTAATGAAATGTCTGACATTCGATTGAAAAATTTGAATTCTTTAAGAAATGTACGAGTTCCGTGGAACGAGATTTCGTTCCCTCGCGAACAATTCGAGTGCAGTTACCGTGATTTTCGTTTGCCCAAGGGCAGGTGGAACTTCGATGTCGTTCGGTATCAGGACATGTCCGAAATTGTGCTTGTGCTGCACGCACCAAACCGCCAGCCAATCGATGTCATACACGGTCAAGTTCCCTGGCAGAACGATTTCAATGTCCACACCTTGGTATCCCCTCAGTACAGCCGAACTGTGGAGAATAATTTTCGTCGATGGTCACGGGCTGTACGAATTTGGTAGGAATTTTCAAACCGGTGAACGGGTGAATCGCATACCTGTTCTTCTCGTTTGGTACTTTGATGCCGAACGTGTTGGGCTCCTGCCCTTTCCCAACCCAGAAATATGCATCCGGCCCGGCGCCGTCGTAATGTAGATTCGGAATGTAAATAGTTTTGCTATCTAGAATGGTGATGTTCCCGCTACGAAGACCGTGTGCCAATCTCGAGAATTCAGGTAGCACCGTTATCTTCGGAGCTGTCATATTCACCGGGATGAAAACGTCACCGAAGTTGAGCTGTGATAAATCAGAGACACGCTTGATCCTCCTGGATAGTTCAATTTGACTATGGAGAATCGAAAGGTTAGTCACGGAGGGGATTATCGAGGAACGACGCGATTGACAATTTATGGTTGGCGATAATCAACGATTTGCATGGTCCGAGAGTTTCCTCCGATATTTTATTTACAACAACGCGTTATTACAAAAATTTCTCTAAGATTTCTCTAAAATTTCTCTAAAATTTCCCGCACGTAGGACAAAGTTTCGCCAGGTAGTTTGATGAATCGATGGTTCGATTTGCTCGTGGAAGGGCGAAAAATCGAAAGAGAAAGAGAGATCGGTTTCCGGCGTTGAACAGGAACCGTCTCATCGAGCTGTCTTTCAAGGGCCGCATATTTACACCCTGCCAGTCGAAAAAGTCGATCCATCATTCCTTACCCCCTGTTGAAGCTGACGTACCGATAGGGGCTGGTTTGTGGTCGTTTACATTCTAAGTTCCGTCAAACGTTTGAATAAGCGAGACGTGGAAGTGGAATGACGGCGGAAAGAAGAAGAGAGGCACGCAAATGGAGAGGAGGAGCGTGAGAAGGGTGGAGAGAGACGGGGAGACGGAGAAAGTAAAAGAGAAAGATCTCGAGCGGGACCTCGTAAAATCCGAGAAACGGATTCCACCCCGTATACAGGGTGATCTACTCTCTTATCCCCCCGGGAACGTTTTATGGGAGAAAATTCAGCGCTCGCAACGATTTTTCAACTCATTCCGTAACCCTGGACAAATCTATTTCTCGTGCGATACAATTTTATACACTTCCTCTTTCTCCCCTTTTATTTCCTGCCTTTTTTCTTCTATCCGCGCCCCGTTTTCACCTTATTCGTTTAAGAAAACGTTCTCGCTGCTCCATCCCCTGTTACTCGATCTGGAAGCTTCCAAGAAGCTTATGAAACGAACTCCTTCTTTCTCTTTCCCGAATGAAATTTCATCGAAATTCAACGCGCGTCCCGAATTTTTATTCCAGCATTTCTCCACAGGCTTAAGGTCCTACGCGCACGTGTGATTGGTGCGGGCCGATTAACCAGCTCTATCGCTCGCTATTTTTCTATTGTCTTTTTTATCGACTCCTCGAAAAGTGTGCCAAGAGTCGAAGATTGAAAAGTCGGTGAATATCTTCGACGTCTTCGATATTCCGCTGAAGGCTACTGTATACGTGGCCTGATTCCAACGTTTCGAGATGTTCTTTGGAACCAGCTCCCAGACTTTTGTCTACAAAGGAATCGATACGCGCGATACCTTGAACTGACGATATGAGTTTTCCATATCAGGGTCGTTCGAGTCGTTAAATTATTTGCTTTTCCCTTTCGACCAACCTTTCCAGCCCCGGAAACGTCGTTTCGACACGACCACGAAATTCGCGGGAGAACCGGTCTTTGGCAACTTTGTACCTTTTATTACCTCCGTTGTGACTTGGTCCACGGGGTGGAAAGCGCGGAAGACTTCAAAGAATACCTCCTTGAAAATCGTCCCTTCAGCTCGGACTTCAAGCGGATTGTATCGCGTTCCGAGATTCCGCGAGAATCTCTTCGACGAATTCCAACGTGCGAAACGATGGTGGCTAAACGATCGTGGACGGGTCTTGAGCCGTGCGCGAAGGATCGATTAATAATTTGCCGGTGAGTCCGTAAGTTACCAGCCAAGAAAACTTTCGCATTAAACGAACCAGGCACGCTTCAAAGGGCGACAGCATCGAGACAGCGTCGCTTTCAGGATTTAATCTTCCTCCGATGTACACTCCTTTCGCGCATTCAACCGACAAATTAACGCTGACCTTTGTTCCGAAACTTGACAGCGAAGAAAATGAGAGATTTTGCCGGGAAAACTGGAAACGGAGGAAGAAAATGAATTCGAAACTTTCCGCCATCTTAGTCCCCGGGATAAAGCCGGTATTATACCGATGCTTGGAAAATAGAGTGGCCCGGCTTCCTTTCCAGTTCTCTCCCAAATCCGCACTTCGTCGAATACTAATTCCATCGTTAATAATAATGATTATCGGCAAGCCGAGCCGACGTTACCCTCCCGAGGGTGAGTTTGAAATTTGCACGCGCATTAATCCCATTTCGTTTAAGGGCTCGTCAATCATATCGACCCTCAGCGAGCGGCTATGTGCTCGCGAATACACAGACAGATAGATCGAGAAAGAGCGAGGGAGAGAGAGAAACGGAGATGCTGGATACCAATGAACTAGAACTCGAGCTTAATGGTGTTTTGAGTGAGCACGATCTGCTTAAAATTGGTCCTTGTGCGAGTACGCGAGTCGAGGGTTCGACCGACAGTTTCTACGCTGCATCTCGCGATGAATGAATTAATCGAGCCGCTCATTTGACAAATTAATTAATTTCGCGGGGCGAAAAGTAAAAGTTTATTTTAAACATAAAGGATCGGGTATTTTGCAACTAGGAATAACCCTTTGACTACTGTGGGCGCCTAAAGGCGCTTAGAGATCTTGCACTTGTGATACTGTGAACACCTAAAGGAGCTCGGAAGTTCTTTTGCTGTGAAAATTTAAGTATATACAGTAACAATTTAATGCAGAGTACGAAGAAATAAATAACGTTGTTTTAATGTAGTGGAATATAGTATTATTACTTGAATATACAATAATTTCTCAGAAATGCACACCTAACGAAATTTTTGCACCCAAATGCACCCAAAATTTGTCGTCCTTGGTGTACATCGTAGTGGACTCCTACTGTATGATATGGCTGGTGTGTTTCAAAGTCTGCCGTAGTCAAAGGGTTAAGAGACTCGAAGAATGGAGTTAACCCCTTCGCCTAGAATATCGTGCGAGGCTCGTGGTAAGGAAATCGGGCCAAACACGAGTATCACGGACGAGAGGCGTGGTTTGTAGACACGACCGAAGGTAAACATCGTGGGTTAGGCTCGTGGTTAATTTTCGCAGATGTTTCCTGTATCAGTTGCGTGTTATTCTTCGCATCGTTCGCATAAAATGGTTCCACGTGTCTCAACGTCTCCGATTTTTCTGTTATCACACGCGTCATTGCAACTTAAATCACGAGGCAAGGGGTTAAAGGTAGACCTACCACGTTCGATTGAATGATCGGTGAGTGAAGAAATGACGAAGATATTTAAAAGTTGATTAAATTTGTATTAAAAAGAGATAAGAATTGAGGAATCTTTTAGAAAAAGGGGGTCATTCCTTATTATAGTTTTGCGAGATTTCGATTCTGGATATCTCGGAATATAATTTCGACAGACGAGTCTTTTCAAAGGGTTCTACGATCTTAAATCGAAAGTTCGAAAATGGTGATTTAGGCAGTGATAGGTTCAGAGTTAATCTAATAATATAAACGGTTCGATCGTTGAATCGCCCCTTGCACTCGGCGATTTCTTTGTTACAGAAGAATAGTAATTCGAAGACTTTCTGCCATAAAGTCGACGATATTTTTAAAACGGTAAATAAGAAATCGTACACAAATTAAGATGCAGGATTATTTTACTTCGACATTCCACACATCGTTGAGTAATTTTAAATTTTATACATTAATTAACATCGTTCTTTAGAATCTGATTAAATAGCGACTGAGGGTCGTCTCACGAGTGCAAGATGTTAATAATTCCTTGTTATTCGTGATATTCAAACACTGCGCGATATTATCTAAATATTCAAAGAAGAGACAAATAATTATGGAAATTATAGGAAAAATATTGCACGATGTTATCTACACCCCTAAAGGGAGGGTAAATAATTATGGAAATGGATAAAAAAGCGTTCAAAATATTTAAATTTTTCGAATTGTTTTAATCGAAAAATAGTGCAGTGCGATTAATCGCGAGTCGAAATTATGAAGTCCAACGGAGGTTCTTCAGGATTACGTGAGTGGAGACGATACAGAATGATCAAATTTGACGGCACCCACGCGTCTCCACTCGATATTGAATGCTAACCCTTGACATTAAATACTTTTCATTCCCGCGTTACGATCACCCGCATGATCGCACAAGCTCCCGTGAAAAATTCCGCTTTGTACTCCGCTCGATCCGTTTCGTTTAATTACCGAGCTTCCGTGACATTTTCCGCGATCGATTTACTTTGCTCTTTTACACAGATCCCATACGAGATCTCGCTGGATCATTTCGAACAGTCGTAGAACTTTCCATCATGATTCGAATGGGAATTTTTACCTGGAACCCATCGCGCGATTCCCATTGTTCACACGGAAGTTACCAAAGGGGAACGCAGGAAGTCATTTCGACGTTAATTACAGAAAGGATTACGCGATTTCTGTGTCAAATAATTAGCGGTTATTTATTAACGATCCTGGAACGAACTTTCGACTGGAATCGAGTACGTCAAATTTTTCGCATCTTTTGTACACCTGTCGTACAATGGGAGCAAATAATGTTCGAATAGAGATCAATTATTCAAAGTTTGACAATCGATTCGTTCCAGAGAAATTAACGATGTTCGTGAAAACTGAGATCGGTCGGAGAACCGAGGTTTCCAGTGAACTGGTAGATTTCGCGAGAATCGATTGTTCGATCATGGTTTCGATGAAATCTCACGGGAAGAAGAGACCAGCAGTTTATAAACCGGGATGCAATGGCGGCCAGGGTTCCTCATCAACTCGATACCTTTGATCTGCTTGTTATAGGCTGGTCGAAGTTTCACTGGGGATCCCTACAGACCCTAATAGACTGTTTATCTCGTAAGCCCGGATTTAGATCTGAATCGGGCTTTATTATGCGAGTCTTAAGTCTATATATGCGCCACGCACGTACCCGTGCCCCAATCTCTTTAAACGTAATGCCTTTCACGTGGCGTGGAGAACTTGCCGTGTGTCGAGAAGCAATAAATATGAATCACGATTCCCTATCGTGCTATCAAAATTTAAGCACTCGAATATTTCGAGATTCGAACATTTGGACAATCGAAAATTGGGGGCACTTGGGGGTGTAAAAATTCGAAGATTTGCAATGTCGGGTTAGATCTCGAAAATTA